CATCTCACTTTGACCTCTCTCTTCTTGTTTGTCTTATTTTGCTTTGTATCATTTTGTAATATATGTAATCTATCTGTGGTTCTGTCCTGTCTGCCATGTTTTAATGAAGTTAATTGAATTACAAGAAGGGTTGAATCAACTAAAATCATATCAGTCAGTGAGTTATTGACTAAATTTAGCCACTAAGACACAATCAGATCTCATTTAAATTGAAGAAAGTGAATTTAAAAAGGTAAAATGTGCGGTTGTGATGCAAACAGAGTGAAGATGTTGGATAGTTGGACAACAGAGACCTTCGGTAATGTAAAGGAACAGGGAGGGATTTGAATCAGTTAATGAGTTTGAGGGTTTTCCCTTGATTTTCCCTACACGATACATGGCTCACGATAACGATAATATCACGATACAAGTCCAATATGTACGTCACATTTTACTGATAACTATTCAGCTACACAGCATTGCGCTGCCCTTTCTCCACCTAGTGGAAGCTGTATTTTTAGGCCACTGACAATTTTGGGTTTAAATTTTGACCCTTTGGGGTTGCTATAACTGGTTAGTGTGGAGTGCTGAAACAGCAGAGTAGCAGACCAAGACAGTGAAGTGAGCAGTAATGTGTAGTTTATGTTAAGATTATATTTTCGCGATCGCAATGCTAATATCTGTTAGCACATTAATGGAGATTCCCATTATGTGTTAGCATTGAGCTAATCGTCAAAGCGCTTTAAAAAAAGATTATGTATCGATATGATGGGCTGATTTTGGCACACCACTAGCATTTATCAGCGTTTCCCACAGAAAACCGTTCTAATCCTCCACCATCATATGAGAGTTGTCCAGGTTAAATAAACAACCTTCATGTCCTCTGAAACTGTGTGTGAGAGCAGAGTGTGTTTGCATCAACACACTCATGCACAGATTCTGCATGATTCTCCTCGTGTTTCTTCAAGTTAAACTAAATTCACCTCAAGTTACCACCTTTTTATATACAGTCTGTGGTTACCTCCTATTTTTCTCCGAAGAGGATAAGCAGGTCCGTGTTTGACGTATACACGGTAACATATCATCTTAACATTTCACCACTCTTACATGGCAGTTTGCGTTTGTCGACATGCAGTAGCCTAAAGCACTGAACGATTTAAAAACTCTTACAGTTGGTGCGTTCAAAGACGCTCCGACATCTGAAATATGACAGTGGCAAAGTTACCCGTGTCTCTCAGCGATAAAGACAACCAGTGTCCACTAGTTCAGGCAGTATTTGATGTGATTCTTTGTGTAAGTCACAGTGTACATACTGTGGACATACAGTATATAGTCTCTGCATTTAGGTTGAAAGGAGCAGCTGATATGTAAGTTACATGCATAGCTGTCATTTACACTGGGGACGCTGGGGACATGTCCCCACCACATTTTGGAATGGCTTGCACCAAGAAATGTTAACTAAGAAATGAAAATGCTTTGAGATAAAGTTTATTTGCACAATAAGAAAACATGAAATGCAATATAGTTTGCCCTCATGTAAAAACAGACATTTCCACCGTAAATTGGAGCAGAAAATGTCTCCAGCATGTAGGAAATTACCAGTTTAATGATCAAAATCTTCTGGGGGAGGCCCCCCAGAACCCCCTCACATATATTTCTGCATCACATATTTAATCTAAATAGTGCTAGAAATCTTCTTGTCTTTTTCTGATGCATTGTCACGTCTCATGACCCAAATGTATCATCCCACCCCTAATCTGAGCCCTTATGTCCACACATAGTGGCAATAGGGCTGGACAATAAAACAATAATTGTCGCGATGTATTTTTTTCAATAACAATATAACAAATGTTCAATAAATATTCAATAAATGTTGGATTTTATTCACTTGAAACATACACGAATTAGGACAATTCTTTTGTTAAGATGTTTATTTTGTTGAGGAAAAAGGACTGAAAAAAGCTTCTACTTATGTTTTTTTACTTATGTTTACTAATGCATATTTGTTGACAAAGATTTTATCATAATTGTTTTGAATGTTCTACCTCAGATTTGTGAAGTGATCCACTGTTTGGCATCAAGTGTTGCCCATAAAGAAGAGTTTAAACCACAATTAACCATCAGGTTTCTTCAACTTACTCACTGAGAAGCAAAAATCTGCCTTTAAACTCGAAAGAAATAACAATTTGATATTTATCGTGATAATTATCTATATTGAAAGATAAGAACTTTTTACCGTGATAACATTTTTGATCTCTGACAGCCTACACAAATCCTGCACTTAGGTCAGTTAGAAGTAATTTTAATGTTACATAAGTTCTTGATAATTACAATTACATTAAACGTACCTTTTTGTAAATGTCGGCCTGCCAGCGTGCTTGTTGTTTGTTCCAGCTATCTTGTTGCTGCTTATTGTCTAACTTTTAGTAGGATTATAGATAAATTTAGCCCACAAATCTGTGATCTGAAGCGTGAACATTAACTAATATTAAAGGCAAAACTGTCATATTAATGGTGATTATTAGTGCAACAGACCGAGCAGCTAAATCATCTTCTGTAGAGGATAGTTGTGAGCAATTAGCCACAATAGGTGATTATTCAGATGCTTGCAGGTTGTAAAATAATACTTTGGATCAGCGGTTTTCAAAGTCTGAAACTGTTTTTACCCCTTGGCTTGGACGGTCGTCAGCTGATTGAGCTCACCTGGGTATTCAGTATTCAGTCCAGTCTCTCCCTTCCTTTACCTTTTTTTGCACAGGAATGCCTACACAGCACAAATGCCACACATCCATGCATTGCTGCCATTGCTGCTTTGCACACCTCGGTCTTAATTTTTGTTAACTTTAGTTTATTAAATTAAAATCTTTCACATTCCCTGAGCCAGTCTGTGACACAGTTAAGTAGTTAATCTGTCACATTCATCTTTTATTTTTTAATCGGTGACAAACATTTTGAGACTTTAGCTCTCTTCAAACATTTTTAATCTAAGTTTTTGTTGGCAAAATTAATTCAGATCTATGTAAAATCCTATTTATGTCAAACTGCTTTAATAAGCAATTTTGAGATATCAGTGGAAAAAATATTACCTCAAATGAAATGTAAAAAAATGACTCACACAGCGCTAAAAAACACCACGAGAGTTTAGATTTTACGCATTTCTCTCACAAAATAATCAGTCTTAATGAGAGAATGTCCTTCGGTTTCACCTCGTCTCTCTCTCTCTCTCTCTGTCTGTATTAGTTCTTTTTATCATCTCAGTCAGTTTCTGGAGAAAACACAGAGTGAAGCGTTTATCAGCTCCGATAGAGCGACTTGGAACATTAATCATCACTGAACGCATCAGGTGATTGAAATTGTTCTGCAGAATATGTGCAGCTGATAGCGTCAGTAGTCTGTGAGGAAATACTGTGCAGTAATATTACCCATAATTACACAGGGAAAAAAAACACGGCCTCCACCCACTAATGGTTTGTTTTGGTTCCGATGGGAATCCAAGCTGGAAAGTGAAGAGTGCTAATGTAATCTAATGTAATGTAGAGATAAACTGCTGCACAGGAATGGATAGAATGCTAGTAATTATTTAAAGGTGTGTTCATAAAGTGTCTCAACCATGTTTTACATGTCGTAATAAATTATATTATTTAATTAATCAATACATGTAAAAGCCTTGTAGGGAAAGATTCAATTAGAAAGTAATCAAATTTTCAAAACTATCAAATTTTGAATCCTCATGTCTGTTAAGACTTCCTGCATCCTATTTAATGTAAACATATTCATCTAAATATCAAACGAAAATAGAAAATATTACAACAAAATAAACAGGAAAGCGCTTTAAGTAAAAGAAGAAAAAGATATAGATTTTTGAGGCTAAACATTTTTATATAATTGAAATTATTTATCCATTAAAAATAATGTTAAATTTAAATAATAAGTGTTGTTTTGGTATCAAATTCCTTACAATTAAAACTTTTACTAAAATCATACTTTAAAAAAATATTAACTGTTATAGAATATATTTTTAGTCAGTGAAGTGGACCCGGGAGCTGACACAGACTCGTTGCAAAGTAAAACGGTATTTTAATGAACAACACAAAAAGAAGCCGGGGTAGTGGAGGAGGGATCGAGGCCGACGATGGCAGGCAGGCTGAAGAGGCGTAGTGGGCTGGTAGTGGTTTGAGGAGTACAGCACAGGGAGGCACTGGAGACGAGGCTCTGAAGCAAAGAAAACAAAAGTTCATATAAGCAAACAGCGAATCAACAAAGAACAAAAGAGAGTACAAAACATCAACAACTAGCAGTGTTGTAGTACTCGAGACCGGTCTTAAAACCACTTTTTTATGGTCTCGTTTCGGACTCGACCGCATTTGTACTCGGTCTTGTCTCGGTGTCGAACATTGAGGACTCGGGACTTTATTTCAAGACCAGTCAAGACTATAACTTTTGGAATATCAATAAATTGCTTTTGCATTGTCTGATTTATTTTTAACATCCTAACTTTGATTGGATGTAAAACTTATTGCTTCAAATGCAACCAGTAACCCTGATTAAAAATGTGGTGTTCCCGTTAACAACTGCCCCCCCCCCTTCACACGCACTCCAACTGTTTAATTAATGTTTGATTTGAATCACAAATTAATTAGCACTTAACTTTTCTATTAAGATATCTATTTTACTGAGGAAAATGGACAGAAAAAGATTTTACTTAATTTAACTCATGCATAATAGTTGATCCACCACAGCTCTAGTGTGAAGGTGATGGTCATCATGGAAAAGGAGTGTTGAATAAAGATGCTTTAGTTGATTTCCACACTTTATGTTGTGTCATGTAACGTGGGGAACTGGTCTTGGTCTCGACTCGGTCTTGCCCTCCCTCGGTCTTGGTCTCGACTCGGTCTCAGCCCTTAAAAGTTTTGGTCTTGTCTCGGTCTCGATAAACTCTGGTATTGGCCTTGACTTGGTTTGTGCGGTCTTGACTACAACACCAAAGCTAGGTTTCTGGGCTGAGAGTACGTTACCACGAGGAGGCAAAAACAATCTGCAGATGAGTGACAGGAGACCGGGAGTATTTCAAGAGCAGAGGTGATTTGGATCAGGTGTGGAGGAGAGCCAGGTGCCACCTGCAGAAACACATACAAAGAGATCGCAGGAAAGGGGGGAACACATGGGAAACAACCAAAGTCACGTTTAACTGTGACACAGTATGATGAAATATATTATGACTTTGAATTGATTAAAATGAGAAATGAACAAAGGAGTGTTAAAAAAAAAAAGGATTAGAGCTTTAGATCCAGACAAGAGAATAAACATTTAAGACGGCGGCATATTTGTGTTGTCTACAGCCTTTCTCAGCCTTTAAACTCAGATTTACACGTGAACGAGCAGAGACGAGGCAGAACAATTCCACAGCTATTCACTCCAACATAAACACTGACTTGGTACAGTGAACACTATAATAGCAAAAAAGCTCAATATAAGTACACAGTGGCCTCTGGCAGCTTTCTACATGCATAATTTTCGTCTGTGTACATTACAAATATCACATGATCAGGTTTACTAATGTCACTTTAAGCTTTAATGTGTGTTATAGCATTCATTATTTTGTCATATTGTAGCTGGAGACTCACCCATTGGTGTGTGTGTGACAGGCTGGTCCGTCCCGCCTCCTCTCCCCGCTCTTAGTCCGCCTTTGAATATGCTCCCTTTCCACTTCGGACAATCCACCCGCCAATGTCCAGTTTTCCCACAGCAGTGGCAAACACATGGATCGTAATGGCCTCGCTGTCCACCTCGTCCCCGCTGAGGCTCGTGTCTTTGGCCTGTGAGGGATCTATGCGTTGTCAGTAGTGCGTTCTCCAGTTTCTTCTGCTGACGGATTTTCTTTCTTTGTTCTCTAGCCTCTAATTGATCTTCTGCATGTATAGCGTGTTCCAGTATCCTTTGAAGTGACTCTGTTTTCCATGAAATACAACTTCTCTTCACTTCAGCAGCGATGTCTAGCTTTATCCGGCCCAGAAAATATTCTTTCAGATACACTTCATAAGGGAGCATCGGAGTTACCCCCATCTGTCCTCGTTTTAGACCGCTATAGAGATCAAAGACTTCAGTCAGGCGTGCTAGGAAAGCCCTACAGGTTTCTGTTGAGCCCTGCGCCAAAGTGGTGATGTTGGATAGATTTACTTGGACTGGGAAAGCAGATTGGCAGGCAATAACGAGGCCGGTGATAGCCAGTCTGTACTGGGCATTGTCGCCATTGCTGTACTCGGCGTGCTTCAGTCTGCAGCCTTGTATATCTGGAGTGAAGTATGCCGATACTTTGTGAAAGTCGTGTTTGAGCACTTTGCTCATCAGTCGCCTCAGCTCAGTCATTGTGGGCCTGTATTCTTTAGCAAACTGCTCCAGCTGCTTTGTGAAGCTCTCCAAGTCTTCAGTCGGGCTGGTCACGTAAGCCATTGCTTCATCAATGTCCTCTTCCGACCACGGTCGGAAATCCAGCGTCGGCCCTCCCGTCCCTGCAGTCTCTGCGCTTTCATTCTTTAGGATATCGGCTTTACCTTGTCTCAGTTCGTATTGATCTCGTTCTGACGGCGGAGGGCTTCTTCTGTACGAGTTCATGGAAGACGCGGGTCTCACAGCGGGGTCTGGGCCCTGGTCAGCGCTCTCACGGGACGGCTCCTGCCCTAAGGCAGCAGGCTCGGCAGCAGCAAGGACTTTATCTTCTTTGGCTCTGGAGCTTGGATTAAATCCTGGACTGGTACCCGGACTGGATCTGGAGCATAAGGAGGAGGCGGAGCGGAGGCCAGGTCGGGATCCAGCCAGAACAGACTCTGTGATTTGCATGCCTCGGGCAAAGGAGGATAAAGTGTGTTAGTTTGTTCTGGTGATCTAATGTCTTTCTTTTTTTCTCTCCTTCTTATCCAGTTTTTCTCTATTGCGTCTTTCTCCTCTGAGTCTTTTCCTTTCCCTCAGTTCGGCCTCCACTCTCCAAGCACTATATGCGTTCCAGTCTGCTTTGAATGGAAGGTTATTCCTCTGCTGTTTTTTGGACAAGCCTGCGTGCTCTTCTGCATCTCTCCTTTCCTTTCTCTCCAACATGGTCTTGAACTGGTCCAATGTTCTCAGACTAAAGCTTCCATTTGCCGGAAACCCCATTTCAACCCACTTATCAAATTGTCTCATTGATGCTTCATCTTTTTCAGTCATGAATTTCACGACTGGCGAAAGGATTTTAGGAGCCGTTTCCCACTCAGTCTTTGCTTTACTCTGACACTTCCCCATTTAATCTCTCATTAGTTTTCTTGCTGTATCATACAGCGTCTAAAGGTCCACTGAAGTCTGTACTCGAGATAGTCGACTCTACCTCCTCCACTCTGTTTAATTTCAATATGCAAGTTCTTTTCTCAGGATCAAAGCGATGATTGGGCTCTGCTGAAAAACAGCTTCTCTCTTGCAGGTCTGTCTTCCACACTGGGCGGCTTAGAGCATCTGGCCCAGAGCGAAGGGATACATAAACATTTAAGACAGCGGCATATTTGTGTTGTCTACAGAGCAGAATTTCTCAACCTTGAAATTGAGATTCACACGTGAATGAGCGGAGACGAGGCAAAACAATTCCACATAAACACTGGTGTGATAGAGTGAACAATATAATAGCAAATTAGCTGAATGGAGTACACAGTAGAGATATATATATATAAGTATAATTATCACCATGCATATAGGCAAAATCAATTTTCTACCGTAGCATTGCTCATAAATCTGAGTATATCAGATGAGTATATCAATACTTTTGTTGACTCATATCTTCTCTGACATGGGTTTTGATGGCTGTACAGGAAGAGGACACACTGTTTAAAGAGATTTAGTGTGTAAATCAAACTTAAACTGTGGAGAGGAGACAGAGTTCTAAAAAGCAGTTTGGCATTTTTGTTCAGCGCCGTTAGAGGTTTCACTATTCACATTAGTGATGTTACAGCAACAGGGCAGGTGACATAAGTTAGTCAGCATGAGTAGGCCTACAAGTTTCTACATTTGATTTGTACAATATTACACTTTAACACTTTTAATCATAAGTTTGACATTTTATGACCCTGTTATTATTTTTATTTATTGTCATTGTAAATAGTTTTCTATGTCTGCAGCCTGTCTTGGCGGAAATACTCATAAAAGGAGAGTTTTGATCTCAATGAGTCTTTTCCTGGTTAAACAAAGGTTAAAATAATAATATTAAATGAAACATTTGCCACTAAATCAGTCTCAGGTGGGAACATCACCGACTGAAGCTTCAATTAAGAAACATTTGTAGAATCTGCAGCGTCTTATTAAAGTCTCGTGGACACAAAAATAAGATTTTATAAAGTGGGTATATATCATCTTTTCAGTGGAAATTATCTTTAAACATACTTGATTGCTTTCAGTCGATCTCTTTTAAAAGCCTTTTGACAACAAATTAGACTGCAGAGTTTCTATATTTGATCTTGACCCTTTAAATCGGGCTGCAGTGCTCTGATTTCATTTTATATTAACGGTTAATTCTTAGTAGATAATTCTCTGTGTTCTAAGTGCTTAATTTTTTCAGCATAATTGAATTAAATCTTTTGCATCACTCTCGGCGGTGCACGCAGGATTCATGCTGCTGCTACGACCTCAACACGCGACTGAGTTTGATTTTATTTATTTATTTTTGTACCTTTTGCTGCTTCTTGTTCAGAAACATGATACAGAGAGAGAGAGAGAGAGAGAAAAGGAAAGATTAACAACCAGGAACAGAAGATCCTCCAACACATCTTCCTCCCCTGTGATATATTATTCATACTGGGGCTGGGCTGGAAGACCCCCGGGACACACAAACCACACAAACACACACACACGCACACACACACACACACACCCTGTTGTTCCTCTGTGACTGCAGTGTTTCTCGTGGCTGTATTTTCTTTCTCCATATCGATCTCTCCACCGTTTATTTTAAGTCACAGCGACACACCCTCCTTCTGACTTTAAACAGCAACACACAACGTTTGGTTTTGTTGTAAATGATTTATAACAGTAAGCCGGGGTTGAGAGCTGAATCCTCTGTCTGTGGGTGTGGACCATGTGCTGGGGGTGCGGCCGGTGGAGAGGACAGAGGAGGATGTGATATACAGTCATGGAGGAAGTGCAGTTTAACCTTTTTGAAAAATCTAAACGTATCACAGAAATTCATCTGTTGTTTGTGTAAATACAAACATCCAACCTGTGTTTTTAGTCCATAGAGTAAAACAGTTCGCCAACCTTAAGATTATGATCATTGTGGGCCGATAATCAATCTGACCAGCCTCAGCTCAAGAAGTCTCATCACTGGTAAATGTTAGAGATGTCTTAATGATTTTTGACCCAATCCTGATCGATATACCGAGACTGATCTGAATATTATATTTACGTGTTGGTTAAATATGTATCTAACACTTTGAAATAACAGCTGTTACCTCCTAAATGTGCCCCGCCTTATTTAAAAGAGCCATATGCTTGAGATATGATATGATATCTGGTAGATAAACACAGATTTTAGGAGACAGAGTTCTAAAAAGCAGTTTGGCATTTTTGTTCAGCGACGTTAGAGGTTAGATTTCACTATTCACATTAGTGATGTTACAGCAACAGGCAGGTGACATAAGTTAGTCAGCATGAGTAGGCCTACATGTTTCTACATTTGATTTGTACAATATTAGGGTACACTTTAATACTTTTAATCATAAATTTGACATTTTAATGACCCGATTATGTTTTTTATTTATTGTCATTGTAAATAGTTTTCTATGTCTGCAGCCTGTCTTGGCTGAAATACTCATATAAAGGAGAGTTTTGATCTCAATGAGTCTTTTCTTGGTTAAACAAAGGTTAAAATAATAATATTAAATGAAACATTTGCCGCTAAATCAGTCTCTGGTGGGAACATCACCGACTGAAGCTTCAGTTAGCAGCATCTTATTAAAGTGGAAGAAACCCTTTTCTCTGCGTCAGCCTCACTCTGATAAAACAGCTGCTGCGTTACATAAAAATCTTTCCACGGTGTGGCTTTAATCTCGGCTTTAATCTCACGAAAGACAGATGAATCAGCTCCCGTGAAAACAGTCTCCTGTCAGACTCCAGACTGCTGATTCACAAACAGCCGGCGAGCTTTGAATCATGAGATCAGTGAGGATTAGACGGCAGAGAGGATGTTTAACAAGATGTTTTCTGTTACGTGCGCACGTCCTGAAACTGAGCTCACAGATTTAAGGACTATATGTTTGTGTTAGTGAGTGTGTATGCTTCTGATTACTAAACCATGGAACAACAAAGATCAAATAGTAAGAGTCTTAACTAAGGAGGAAGTTTAGTTTGAACTCAGCGGTACAACAACTTTACTGAATGAAAATAGTAAAAAATTTAAATTTTAATCGGGAACTAGCTGATAGAATAATAACTGTGAATAATGACTGAAGCAGCAGCAGTTTCAGTTTAGCTGAAGCAGCTTGTTGTGTTGTGTATTTAGATGTTTGCATTTCCCTCCAAAATGCAATGTAGTTAGTGGCAGTTTGGTCACTTTTTTTTCTTTAGCTTTAAACTAGCTTTGACTTTCAAGAAACTTGTTTAGCACTTTGTATTTGACTAGATTTTATACATTATATGTACTCTTTTAACTTTATTAACATTATTATTATTAATAATAATATTGTTCAGTAGGTTTTTATTCTGTACCTTTTTGTAGTTTTCATTTTTATCTCATTTCTACTATTTTACATTATTTATTAATTTATTTAAAAGGGGACAAAGCACCATAATGAACCCCTTTAGCTTTTGCATCCATCTAAAAATGCCAGATTTTTCTCATTTTTTTCATCTGTAGTCCCTGGGCAGGGAGGTCAAATACACCAAAAGGAAAACAATAGAAAGAATAATACAATAAACCTCAATATCCAAGACAGTCCTTAAGCTTCGGTATACTGAGCATGAGCGAGTCATTGGAGTAAATCTGTCCAATTTATTAAATTAGGCAGTTTAAAGTGCTATTTATTAGGGCTGCAACTAATGACTATTTTCGTAGTCGACAAATCAGTTGATTATGTATTCGATTAGTTAACTAGTCACGATTAGTTTTGTCTCCCCCTAACCCTAATTAAACCATTTAACTAATTAAATATCTTTCAAGTGAATTACTGATCTCCAACACACCTAACCAGCTAATTTTACCATTAAGTGAACAAGGTCAACTATTCAGAATGAACACCAGTATCAACGCCAGGGGGAAACCAGGGAAGAAGACAAGACAGCGTTGAATACTCCTAAAATTCACTGATTTATACAAACTTTTAAACGTTTAACAAAGATTTTTTTGCTTTTGGAACTATATAAAATAAAAGCAAATTTAAAGAAAGTACTATAACCACAACTGTACACTAACAATGTAATGTCTATTTAGTTCCAAAGTGCTTATAAGTTTTATAAGCAGAGAATGTTCTGTAGGGTACATTGATGGTGATTTACTTTAAACCCTTTCTCAGATTGAAACCATCTTACAGTTGTGGCCTTGCCTCTGCTGCTCTGTTGTTGCAGCTGCAGTGGTCTGAGTAACTGGGACCAGGGCGCGCTGTGGGCCCGACTGGTTGGCCAGCTGCCACCACTAACCTCGTGGGCACTTGTCGGGCTTCTCAACCTGCCAATATTCCACTTCTACACAGTTGATTTCTCACCTCAAAACCGCTCAAAAGTGTTTTTTTAGTGATTAAATAGCATACAAAACCTGTAAAAACAAAAAAAAACGTTCTGTTTTTCTCCGTTTGCTTTCCGCTTCTCGCATGAATGCTTCTTCTTCACCC